AAACCACCAATTAAACCAATAATAGTTGTTATAACTGTAATAAAATCATTTTTTCCCACATATGAATATTGACATTGAATTGGATTACATTGATCATAATAATCTCTATGTGATGTTGTATTTATCCATTGTTCAACCATTAGTTTTGAAAGAATATCATTAATAGTTGTATTTGGTTGATATTGACTGGGTAATGTTAAATCTAATGCTGTTGTACTGAAATTAGTAGCAGATGAATTGAGAGCATAACGAAGATCATTAATACATGATTGATTATAAAAACAAATGAGATTTGATTTAAGTAAAGCTTCGATAATAAAACAACCGATATACATTCCTGGAACAAGAAATGAATTATCATTATTGACATAAACTGGTGTTGTACACGATGGGCTGTCTCCACATGAACAACTTGATGTTGAATCCGTATAAGTATGATACTTAGAGATAATGTTGTACATTGTCGTGTTATTAGAAGTTTGATATGGAACAGTATAATAATCAAAGTTAGTAAGTAATCCAGAGATAATTCCATTATTAGAAGTTGTTTCACGAATTATATCTAATGATCGAGTAAAACTATTTATTGTACTAGAAATAAAAATTTGAATTAATTCATTAGTTTGTGTTTGAAAGATTTCCAAAGACATGACTGTTCCTGAAATAAAAAGTGTTTTATAAAAATTATTAAGACCTTGATCAATTGTTGTATTAGTTGAACTACAAAATGATGTTAATAATTGAAATAATGGTCCACCAACATAACGAAAAGTTGGTGAAGGTTGTTGATTAATCGATGAAGATTTTATTAAATTTATCCAGAATTTTGTTGTATAAATACTTTGACAAACTTGATGATAAGTCGCTTTTATATTTATAAATTGTTCATATGGAATTGAAACAGTTGTACATGGACAAGAAATAATTGTTGAATATTGTTTATATAAATTCAAATATTGATCATAATTTGGATACGATATTTCAAATGTTTTTTGTACTTGAATTTGAGATATATATCCTGTTAGAACCGCAAGAGAAACAACAAGAAATAGGAAAAAAGTACGTGTAGATAGAATTTCTGTTCTAATCTCATTTTCATCTGTTATAGAAGATATGTTCGAATGAAAAATATTCAATTCAACGATTGATTTTTTCAGACGAGATAATAAATTACCAATACGTTGACAAATTGGCATCTTCTCTTTGACTAAACTGTTGAGTTTTAAATAAAATTTCAAAAAAAAAAGAATTTATTTTATGAAAACACATAAAACAATGTTAGTTCAACCGTTGAAAAACAACATACATTTCAATTTGTACTTTAATTATAAGTAAAAATAAAAACATTCCAAACTATATTTCCCTTCAATTGTCGTCATCAGCGACAAAAAACAAATATTAAATACATTTCTTTTATTACTTTCTCTTAAGAAGATATTTTCCTGATTAGACATCATTGAATTGACTTTATTAACAACTTAAAAAAGTACTTTTTCACAAATCTAAGAATATTTTATTTATTTGAAGAAATAAGAATACAGTTATATGTAATACGATGATAAATGAGTATTTATTTATTTATTTCGTTTCGTGTCATCATGAGACAAATGTTGTTCATTTTATATGAATATGAAATTGTTTTTTCTCTTGAAATTCCGATGAAATAGTTGAAGTCTTTTATTAAGAAATCAACTGAGAAAGTGTTTTTTTCATTATAACAAAGGAAAGAAATTGTTACAAAAAATAACTTCTTCGGTCAAATGATATTTGAATAAGCATCATGCATACTTGAAAGAATACACAACAACAGTAATCATCACTTTAATTTCCTTTTACAACATTTCAATTTCTAAAGAGATTCTACTCGAAAAGAAACAATCATTTCAATACTTTTTATTTCACTTTAATAATTGAAAAAAATGAATGTTGAATTTAATTGAAGAGAATTTATTCGATGTCTAAATGAATTTGATTATAGAAATCAAATCAAATATTTTTTTCTTTTTGATTAGTTTTAAGACAAAAACCATGATCGTAGTCATCTCTTACTATAATGCACAACTTCAATAAAAGAACTATCTGTCGTTTCAAAGTTTTAGGTTGTGTGCATATAGAGATAATAAAATACTCACACCCATACCCTCAAAAACGTTCGATTCACCACATCAAGTTGGCGAAAGTTACGTATTTTTTTTCTTCTTATCTTCATTTCTTTGTTGAGGTAGGACGTTTTTACTTTCAAAACATTATAATACTATCAACAACTACGAAAAAAGATGGCAGAATTTCACTATTTAACCATCAAAAGTTGTTTTTCTTAGAAAAATCAATATCATATTCAGAATCAGCATGAAAAATTCACTTATGGTCAAAAGATGGATGTGCCAAGTGTACTGATGGACATCTTTTCGTAGGACACCCCTTATGGCTATTTCAATAATATGTGATCTTTTCTTCTCGTCACATTTCTTCTCCTCGCTCCCTCTATGTCTCCCTCTATTTTTTTTTATTTCTTTTCCTCAGAGATATACAGATTGATTACGTTATTTTTAATAGTTTTGTGTAATTTATTGTATTTATTTGAAACACTAGAATTTTCTTATTTTGATACCGTTGGATAGAGCATCGGCTACTCTATCGAATTATATAGTTTACATTTTATGTTCTTCGGCTCTAGCTCAAAAAAGGTTTTTTTGAACAACAGCTATCCGATGAGAGACAGGGCATTTCTTATTTTTGTATCAGCATCTTTATTTAAAACAAAATATACCAAAAGATGCAGCGTGAGAAGCTATACAACTTACATGGAACTATTCGTTTTAAAAAATATTGACAATATTTTAAGCAGTCGAATTTTGAATGCGAGAAAATTGGTTTTACAACATTTTTTCACAATTATAAGAAATGTTTAATGTGCAAATTGTAGAGCTGTTCGCACCGCATCTTGGGTGGGTGTTATGTTATTTCTAATGTGCTGTACATGTCACCTACATGCACAGTCACACCCACACCGATATCCTTAATCAAATTCAAAGAAAAGAAAAAGATTTATTTAAATTTAAACACAAATATCTTTTTTATTAAATAATAAATTAAATTCTCTATTCAGCTCATCACATGAAGAGAAAATTGTAAGAAAATAATAGTTCATTCACAATTATCATTTCGATTTTATTCGATCAACAACGATAATTTAACAATTAAAATTGAAATAAAAGTAACATCTGAATATATGTGCATTAACAATTCTTTACTTTATGAAAGATTTTTGAAAAATCTAAAGAAAAAGAGAATAAATTATTATCAATGAATAAGAATAAAAACTATTTTTCATCATTTTTTCATTCATCGACATCTCATATCAAAACATTTTAAAAAAACACAAAATTCTAATCAAATGTTATTCGAAATCGATTGCTACAATGTCCATCGTTTAATTAGAATAATATTTCGACTTATTATCAACGAAACACAACAAATTAAGATTTATTTTCTTTCCAAATATATTTGATATTGTTATCAAATATTTAATTCAAATTTCAAGTAGAAATGGAGATCCAACCATATATGATCAATTAGAAAATAACTTCAAAAAGTTACTACTAGATTCAACCGAGGAAATGGTGAGAAAATCAAGAAACATACGTAACAGTAGAGAATACGTTGAAATATTTATTTTTCATTTATTTGAAAATAAATTTGAAATAAAATCTTATACTTTTTCTTTTCTGAATGTTCATTAATATCTGAACTCAAATTCGATAACTGTTCTTTATCTTATTGTTAACCATTTAATTTTCACGTAAAATTTCATAAATCAAGAGAAAAATAAATGAAATATCGATTGAGTTTCTAAATCTTTTATTAATGTTGAAGAAAAAGGAAAAAGAATCGGAAAGAACAATATGATGATCTCTCAATTAAAGAAGACGAAGAAAACGAAATTGAATTCGAAAGAAGAATCTATTTGTGAAGAATTGTTTAAATAAATATTTTATTTATTTTAGACATGAAATTTTTGTTATTCTTAAGAATGAAATCGTTGAATTTGATAAAAAAAGAGGTAAAACAATTAAATTCGAAATAATGAAAATCTAATCAATATTCGTCAAAAGATTTTGCTTCTAATTTCAATAGAGAAACGATTTTCACAAATCTTCAAAATGAATTTTTTTTAAACAATTTCTTCTTTTTCAAATAAAATCATGATTTAATTCATCAAAACATCAAATCAACTCACTCTTCACAATTATTCTTTAATTTCGGTGACTTCTGCATTAAGGATATATCAGACATCGACACACTCAATATGGTGCCGATGATCTACAAGTGTCGATAAAATCCATTTAGACGAATAACATAATACCTTCTATCTCATCAGATTTTTGTTTCTTTTTGTCGAAAACGTATTTATCTTTCATTACGAAGAAAACAGTTCTCTATCAACAATATTTAATTGCACAGCACTTAAATCCATTTTACTCCATATGAATTCTTTTTCTCTTTCTCTTTCTCTTTCTCTTTCTTTCCAATAACATTTCTTATGTATTTTAGATCTTTAATGTATTCTTTTCAATTTTTACACATTCTTTCGTAATAAAATACGTAGTTCGAAAAAAAGGAAAAAAAGTGACAAATGTTGTTAGTTTATAAAACAAACTAAACGAATCACCAAACGAAAAAAACATTCAGTCACACACACGCACAATATCATCCGAAATTTAAAAACTATTACAACTTTTTCAAATTATTTCATTTAAACAATTTAATTCGGGTAAGTTTTGCATTTTAATCATTCGGAAAAGAAATGTATCGAAGTTCTGAGAAAACTGAATTCTTGAGGATTTGTGAACTTATGAACAAACTAGAATCGACCGAATGTATGGATCTCAACAAATCCACCAGAATCCACGATACTCGGCGAATCCATAAAGCGGGTGTGGATGTGAGTGTGCGTGTAGATAAACGTGCAGCTTATGAGAAGATTTACACCTACACCCACCCTCAAATCAGGTATTAAGGATAGAACTGAAAGTCTAAGTGTAGGAATAAGAGAGTAAATGTAAAAAACATACGCTTGCGAGAATCGTAGAATGGAACTTCGATCAGGTCAGCAGGGACAGATTAAATGTGGTGCGTGGACTTCTGTAGAATCAGAAAAAACCGACTTTTAAAGTAGGAGAAAGAACTTCGAGAAATAACCGTATTTTATTCGATCTTGAGAAGATTTTGAAAATGCTAGTCAAACCTTGAATCTTCAACGGCTCAGTTTAACATCATTTTTTTGCAAAGTATGCTGTTATAGGGAGCGTGCGTTGGTGGATAGATGTAAATATTGACATTATATCATATCCACACCTATATACTAGTCAATCTGTCTCTATCAATGAGAAAGAGTTTTGTTAAACATAATACTGCAGGTTTTTTGCGTATGATATCGTGTTCCTGGTATCGTGCACATCGAATTTAACTAGCTTATCAAATAAAGAATGTTTCGAAGAAATAAATATTTTTCTGATTGCAAGTAATGAATACATTTAACCTTCTTAATCTATTATGAGCGTGCAGCTTCACTTTCACCTCTGCCATTTTTAGTGACAGATAACTTGATGTGGCGATTAACCGATCGATCATGAAGGAATTTTTTTATTAACATTTAGTTTGAAAATACGATAGATACAATTTTTAACATGTTTTAACTTTCAGATGGCATACATCAATGCTGATAAACCAAATTCTGCGTTTCGCTTTGCAGACATTGGTGTGTTAAGTAAACGAATGCTCGGGCCAATCGAAGGATATGAGAATTTACCACTTGTAACATTAGAGGAAGCTGTGAAACCTCTTATTAGTATTGTACCGAAAGTCGAACGCAATGTATTTATAGTTAAACAGAATTGTAACAAACCAGAAGATGGTTTGACTAGTGACGAATCTGCTTCAATCATGCTTTACACCCTCGAATCAATGCCACACGAAAACTCGTTGTATATTATCCTCAATGCAACTTTACGTTCTGAACAAAGACAAAAATTAGTTCCTTGGTTTCTTTATCTTCGACTTGTTTTGACGGCACTAGCTCGACTTCCATCTGAACGTCGTTTTGTTGTTCGAGGAGTCAAAGAAGACTTACGGGCGGAGTATCCAAAAGACAGTACGTTTATTTGGTGGGCGTTTTCCTCATGCACATCCTCTATAGAAGTGCTTGAATGTGATAACTTTTTTGGCAAAACTGGAACTAGAACCTTGTTTCAAATAGATTGTGAAACTGGAAAAGATATCAAAAGTCATTCATTCATAAAGAAAGAAGATGAAATTCTTCTCCTACCAGCGAGACAATTTCAGGTCAAATCATGTCTGAACTCTGGCAACGGACTTCATATAATACAAATTAAGGAAATACAACCAGCTTTCCCTCTTCTTGAGCCAGTTTCATTGCCTTACCCAACAGCGCAATTCAAGAATGAGTCTAATGTTGGTTCTCAAACAAAAGCTAAAGAAAATAAATCGACATCAGCAGTTATGCCAAAACAGGGCTTAAAAAATGAGCAAAGCCCCCAAAAGAAATATTCAGGTAAATGAAAATTGCTTGTTGATGGAAGTAAAACCATCCTGAGGATGTGATTTTCTTTTCTTAATTTACTTCAGCACCCATCTCTATTTACAACCACGCTTCAACCACACCCACACCATCCAGTAAATACTTCACTCTATATTTCTCTGTATAGAACTAAGGTATCTCATAGATAATTGTTGAGAATGAGAGTGAGTGCATATCTGTTGCTCTGGTTTCCGCTGAATGAATTTAAATTCAGGGTAGGTAGATCTCTGCTTCGTGAGAATGGTAAGTGATTTCTTGTAAAGAAATCAAAATCAGACACCAGAAGTATCTTGAAAGCTGGTAGCAAGTTAGAATGTACCACACTGACTATTAATCGTTATGATTTTGTGGATGTGGATAGTGGTGGGTGATGAGATAGGTGAAGAAGAGATAACAAGTCACCCACACCCAGCTCGATGAATATGTGAGGCTGATGAATCTAGTTAGACTGTAATGAGAGATCAACTTCTGAAGTCGTCTGTTGTCGATCAATTTCAATTTTTTATCAGAATCTTTTAGTTTAGTTGAGAGAACGACTAAAAAACAGTCATATAAGTGGTTGTATCAATTTAGAGACAGTATGGCATGATATACTCTATTGAATGATTCCCCCGCATAAAACCACTGCTTCAAAACATTGAATGATTTGATTTTCAAGACGAATTTTTCAAAACATGTTCCGTTTTCTTTTCATTATATGAAGATACGCCTCATGCGATAGCTCAGAAGTGAGAACTAGAATTAAGATATAACAACTCTACAATCATTCTCTTATCAGATTCAATTGTGTTTGTTAAACTTTACTTGTGATCAGAGTGCATGCACTACTTCTAAGAATAAAATCATGACTATCTCTGCGTTAATTCTCTTAGTTGATAGAACGATAATTAATGTTCTCATTCTGTTGGTCAGCTCTAAACAATGCCGGATCTAGTCAGTAGACGGCCCCGGCGGTCAGACTCTGGAAGTGACCACCGAATATTTGAATAACCATGTTTATCCAATATTGCGTAATCAGTATGGGGTCTTGCCGTGATCACTGGATCCGTCGCTAGCTCCAAATAGCACTAATTTGAATAACTCTCTTGATATGAAAACGCATTTCAAGAAATGAAACGTTACAGAGACTATGTTTCTTTAAATAATGGAATAGGCTGATCATATATGATAAAAGATGAAAGTTTTTTAAATGCGTGGATGGATTCTGAATGTGACATATCTATTGAAAAAATTGTTTTTCTTCTTTTCATTAGACGTCCTTCATATTTTAAGAAAGCATTACTATTCTTAAAGTACTGGGATTTTCAACATAACGTGTTTGATACTTATATTAATAGTTAATTCAATCTAAAACACTATTCAAGTGCATCAATAACTGAAATGAGCTGTTAGCATGTCATAATAAAAGTTCTAGTGCTTTAAGAGTAATAATGCTCTCTAAAAAAAGTGAATAAAATGCAAAGTTTTGTCTGATATCACTGTTCAGAGAAGTTGTGCTCCAGTAACAAAGAAAAACGCATTGGGTTCGTAGACTGCTGTTTTGTATAGGATCTCATGGCGGATCTTCTGGAAAAAGATAAATTCTGAACAATGAAAATTGTCCAAGATATCAACAATATACTGAGAGTCCGCTCATTCTATCATACCCATTATTTTTTTGTTTTTTTCTGATCAAAACTCCAAGCTTACAGCTTTCTTATTATATGACTTAGTGCGTTCACTCGAAACACCAGTTTTTAGAGTATGCTTTACTACATCTTTTCATCTAAAAGATAAATTTAAAACTAACGAGGGAACCTCCCCAACTGTCGGAGAGTTTTGAAGTTCGGGTCCCGTCCGTTAAGTAGATCCTAGTGAGGTATGAAAAACCCCAAAACGATAAGGGCCCATAGGCCTTCTGTCCCGAGTTATAGGCGATATACTGAAATTTTAGCCTATGGCAGGGTATGTAGGAATAAATCGAATGACGGTATTTCGATCTGAGATTTTGCCCACAGAGAGGCCTATATGGGACTAGAATACCCTAAAAATTTCGGCTCAAAAAAACGTTTCCTTCCCGAGATATTAAAGTCTCAAAAAACAGAAAATTCTAGTATCTGTCGTGGATATACGTGATTTTTTGAGACTTTAATATCTCGGGAAGGAAACGTTTTTTTGAGCCGAAATTTTTAGGGTATTCTAGTCCCATATAGGCCTCTCTGTGGGCAAAATCTCAGGTCGAAATACCGTCATTCGATTTATTCCTACATACCCTGCCATAGGCTAAAATTTCAGTATATCGCCTATAACTCGGGACAGAAGGCCTATGGGCCCTTATCGTTTTGGGGTTTTTCATACCTCACTAGGATCTACTTAACGGACGGGACCCGAACTTCAAAGCTCTCCGACAGTTGGGGAGGTTCCCTCGTGAGCTACCCTTTATCGACATTACGATCTCATTCGGGTTTAAGTAACATTGTTTGATTTCTTGTAGGTGTGTCCGAACTACCTCAATCCAAGTTTATTTCCAATGTATCAGGGCCGAAACCAACGCCATCGAAACCAAGTATGTTGCTTAGAATGTGATAGTCATTTTCGTTAAAAGAAATGTTTCATTAGTCCCACCGCTCGCGCTGTGCTCGATGGCAAATCAGCTCGGGCGGGCATGTATAGATTAATGCTACAATGAAAGAATTCTTTCACTCGGATAGAATACATCGATTCCATTAAGAACGATGCTAAAACGGTTATAAATAACGTTTCGTTGCACATTTTTCTACAAGACGCTACAGTATCAAATATCTACTCAATCCACCATTATCTCACACTCTTACTCTTGAGCCACATAGCGAGTACTTGCTTGCAGTGAAAAGGATTACCACCGCATGTGTCACACAGCACTGAGATGGGTATGAGTATGGATGTATCCTTCCTTAGCCTTCACTATCACCCTTATTAATCATTTTTTCACCGCTGCTGTCAAAAATGCGATCTTTTCTCTATCAAGTACAAACACCATTCAAATAAAGACAAAACACTGTCATTATCGCGCTTTCCATCACATCCTAAATAAACTACTATTCTAATATTCCTTGCAGTTTTTAAATTCCTATCATAAAAAATGTCGATGATTCTCAAATTTCTAAATACCTTAAATTCTATAATGCTGAAAACTCCTGAAAATAGTTACCAAACGCTTCCATCGTTGCGCAACAGGAACTCTTTGGTCAGTTTCAGAAAATTCCGATGTCTCGAAGATTCTAAATTTGCAAAATTCTCAATTTTATGGCATGTTGAATTGAGAAAATGTGGAAAACTCTTTAATATCGACTTTTAAATGACTCCAATTATCTACATTCTCCAACACTTTCCTAAAAGTATTTCTTTGTAAACCAAAATAATTTTCTCATCGGATGATCCTATAGTCCACTACTGAGATTATTTCGAGTTTACGACGATCCTCTGAATAAACTTCTTATAAAAGCATCATCTACGCCCTGTATGATTTTGTGACTGCTTAATCTTTTCATTTAGAACCTCAAGAATTTGCTGCATCTGGCACGTGCAAAAAAATTTATTGAGCTTATTTATTTCGTCGAAAGTCACCGTTTACCAAAGCATTTTGAAATGTTTATTCCCAACGAAACAGAGTAGATGAATACAAATTTTGTCATGAGGAATCATATATTCTATGATTTACTCATACTTAATCGTAACAAACTTGCATTTGCAGGGAGAAAAATAGTTGTACCGAATCTTGGAGGTCGTCGTAACCATTCACTTCTTGTATCAATAATGATCTACTAAAGAACTGCTTATCACCTACGATAAAAGAAGTAATAAACGAACTCCGTCATCCTATAGATTATTCTACTGCTTAACAATTTCCAACTGTGAAACCAATTATAACAATTTTTTTCGCAAAAAGCAAAATTTTGGAATAGAACTTTTGTTCCAAGTGTCATAAGTGTTGTTATGATTATTCATGGTTGATACGGTCTTGAATGAATAGATAATGTTTACACCTTCGTTTTAGAGTTAAAGAAAAATAAGTGAACAGAATCCTGATTCAATTGAGTCATTTGATATCCTATTATTTTTATGCTTAGTAGCTCAGTAATTTTACTTTGAAATAATTGACATACATGAATATGATTATTGGCATTTTTCTAATGATTCATATGTTATGTGAGAATATAAATAAACCACCCGATTGAAATACGTACACTATTGTAAACAAAATCGATCGACAGAACCTACTGGTGATGATGATTATTCAATTAATCAAAAACTTACAAACAGTTTACCGTTTACGAATTACTGGTTTCATACCTGTGAAATAGATGGGGAAAATCTTCAAGACCAATGGAAAATGGTCATACATTTGATATGTGATCTTTATTCTTGAATAGCAAACAATATAGTGTTAGCGAGCGACCAAAAGCAATGAGTAACACTATTGGGTATGAATAATTCTTTTTTGATGTGATTGTCGATAGTTCTCGTAACTCGAAAACTACACATTGATATTAATAAAATAATTGAAAAGTATCTCTGCAATAAGAATCATTTTGTTTTCATATAATCATTGAGGAACTCAATGATTCGCTATATCAAATGCAAAATGAGTTGAATAGATGAATATGATCATAACAACAATTATAATCAATCATTCATTGCGATATCTTCCAAATGTGGATATATTCTAAGTCTTTATTTCGATGTATGCCACATTACTGAATAAAAGCATTGGAAAAGTGAGGACTGGGGAATAGTTATTGATGTACCATAGCATCTCTGTTGACAAAACAACCCAAATATTTGGTTTTGTACTTCACGAAATAAGTGCATAGATTTTTCGTAAACTTTATTCGTTAATCTTGTAATTATTGATCAACTCATTTCTTTGCAACTTGTGTTTTAAACATAGATGACAGTAAATGAATAACATCTTTGGTAAGTAATGATTCAATTACTATAAGATGTGTGATCAGTTACATGA